CTAGTTATGTTGTTTATCTCATTAATATGCAGTTTCAAATCTTAGTTTTTCTTTTTAAAGATTTCAGGAATATCTTATAGTCTTTAATAATTGTTCCATTCCCTTGCTTTGATTTTTTTCATGTAAAATGTCATTATATTTGTGTTGGATGTTCTTTCACCGACTTCATCATTTGCTGTTTTTCTAAAAGTCATTCTAATTTTGTTCCTAACTTCTTTTTGCATTCATTTATATGTTATATACTATAAGGTTCATCATATTTGGTATACAATCCTATATGTTTTGACAAATGTATACCATTATGTAAATTTCACCATAATTGGGGCACAGAACAGCTTTGTACCCTGAAAACGTTTTCACCTATTTCTCTTTTGTGGACAAACATTTCTTTTGCCCTTAGCCCTCCAGCAAACCCATTTTCTCTGTAAATTTACCTTTTTTGGGATTTCATAAAAATGAATCATAGAGTCTGTACCTATTAACTTCCTTTTTATTTGAAACTTCTATCTCATTTTATGCTATTTTTCCCCTATGATGTTTTCTGTAGTCTTTGTAGCTTTATATCATATTTATTCTCTTTTGCGTCCATTTTGGTCTGGTCTTCATTTTTGAAATGGTGTTGTTTGTTTGTTCTTTGTTTGTTTAGGGAGTTACATCTTGTGTGTTATTAATTTCTGAGTTTTCATAATTCTCATTTATGATGTTCTTTCACATTGCAGGTTATTGTGTTAATGACTTTGGCTAATTTTAAACCATTAAGTTATAGTTTTCCTCTGCTTTGTGGACTTTAATTGTCAATAAAGAGGTCATTTTGCTTATTATGTTTGCTATTACAATAACTCTGAATGATATTTAACCTCAGTTATTTCTGAGGCTCATTTTCACAGGAAATTCATTAACTTGGATGTTAACTCCTTAGAAGGGAGCCATGATTTTGTATATTTTCTACTGATAACTTGCCCTCTTCTATTGTTCTTGTGAAATATTTCATTTTATTCCCACAATCCAGTCTACTTCTTTTCCCATTTTTTGCATAATTTAGATTCTTTCCCCAACAGTTTCTTCTCAGTGTGGGGTTCTTCCCTGGAAGAGCCTTTGATTGGCCAGCGTTGAGGGACAGTAGGGCCCAGCCTGTTCCAACCCCTTCAGGTCACACTGCAGAGAGCTTACACTCAGCATAAGGCAGTGCAAACCCCAGCCAGTTTCAACTGCTTCAGATTTGTAACAACAATTTCAGGTGAATATTTGTTGATTAATTCTTATTCTGTCAAATATGTCACCGCTTCCCTCGGCTTCCACCTGCACATAGGGAAGCTCATACCACACAGACCTTGTAGTTTTTGGTAAGTTATTCCCAACATAGATACTTGAGGTTGGTTTGTTGTTGTATTTTTGCCTTCTATTTTTCTTCATATTACGTTGCCCATGGGCTTTTGCTTTTGTTATATTCGTTTCTCTGTGGGTTCTTGTGAGGAGACTGGGAGATTTTCAAAAGCTGAGAACCTGTAGTAGAAGATTTTAACTAATTTTTTTTCAGTAACTAATAGAAAAACACAAAAATTAAGTCAAAAAATTTCAATAACACAATTAATACAATTGATTTAATTTACCAAATTGAACCCATACCAAATAATGTCATAATACGCATTCTTTTGAAGTACACATGAAACATTTTTTAAAAAGTTTTTGGCCTTAAGGCAATTATCATCAAATTTAAAATGATAAAATGATATCTCTACATATATCTCCAGCTACATTCAGTCATGCACCCATGGTTATGTTTTGGTTAATGAAAGACTGCACATATTGATGGTATTCCCAAAGGACTGTAATATTGTATTTTTATTATACAGTTCTAGGTTTTGATATTGATATGGTTTGGCTCTATGTCCCCACCCAAATCTCATGTTAAAGGAGAGGCCTGTTGGGAAGTGGTTGAATCATGGGGGAAGATTTCCCACTTGCTGTTCTTGTGATAGACTTTTCATGAGATCTGGTTGTTTCAGTGTGTAGCACCTCTCCCTTTACTTGCCCTCTCTCCTGCTCCACCAGGTGAAAATGTGCCAGCTTCCCCTTCCACCATGATTCTTAAGTTTCCTGAGTCCTCTCCACCCATGTTTCCTATATAGCCTGTGGAACCATAAGCCAATTAAACCTCTTTTCTTTATAAATTACCCAATCTCAAGTATTATAGCATTGTGAGAACCGACTAATATAGATATGTTTAGATATAGTAATATTTACTATTTGTTATAGTCATCTACAGTATTCAGTATAGTAACATGCTTGTGTGTTTGTAGCCTAGATTCAATAGGCTATATCATCTAGGCTAGGGGTTAGTATTTTATACCATTCAGTTTGGTGTAAGTATACTCTATGAGGTTTGCACAATGATGAAATTGCCTAATGATGCACTTATCAGAGACTATCCACATTGTTATGCAATATATGGCTGTATATATATATATATATATATATATATACACATACATACATATATATATATACACATACATACATATATATATATACATACATACATATATATATATATATATATATATGTATGTATATATATCTTCTATTGGCTCTGTTCCTCTTCAGAACCCTGACAAATTCAGGATGCTGTAACAAAAATACCATAGGCTATGTGATTTAAACAATGAACATTTATTTCTCCCTCTTCTGGATGCTTGGGAGTACAAGATCAAGGTTCTGGTACATTCCATCTGGTGAGGGCTTTCTTCTTGGGTAATAGATGGCTGTCTTCTCACCTTGTCCTCATATGGCAGAATAAGACAAGAGAGCTCTCTGAGGTATCTTTTATAAGATCACTAATCCTATCCATCTGGGCTCTACCCTCATAACCTAAATACCACTGCAAGGCTTAACCTCTTTATACCATCCCATTGGGGGTTAGGATTTCAACATATAAACATGAACATTCACAACACACACCATACATTCATGACACACTGCGTGAACATAACTAGCTCTTCTGGATTTCCACTTATTAATTTTCAGAGTGTTAAGAATAAAGACATCTGAGCCAGAGAATCTAGGCTAATATGCTAGCTTTGGAAATATGTAATCATGTGACCTTGAGAAAGAAAGCCTCTCATAATATTTGTTCTTACGTTCCTGTTTTGATATGACAACTAAAAAACAAATATATTTAATGTGATATGAAGATTACAGTACTTTAAACTTGGACATGAAATTTGTCCACTGCTCAAGAAAAGTATGGAGTTTGATCTACTGAATCTTTGGTTCACTGAAAAATTCAGACTGCTTATATTTCGTGATGCCACCATTCAAAAGATGGTTTTCAGGTTCTGTGGATCTTAACTACTTCTGCCTAGAAGTAACACACATGACTTTGCATCAGCTCTCTTTGGCTGACACTAGTCTGATAATCTCATTTAACTATAATGAGCCAAAAATTAGAGTGTACTAGTTTGTTCAGGTTACTATAACAAAATATCTAGGCTGAGTAATTTATTAACAGCAGTAATTTATTGCTTGCAGTTCTGGAGGCTGGGAAGTCAAAATTCACAGCACCAGTAGCTTCAGTGTCTGGTGAGAGCTTGTTCTGCTTCACAGATGGCAACTGCTTTGTGTCTTCACAAGGCAGAAGGAGTAGGCAGACTATCTTAAGCGTCATTTATAAGGGCACAAATCCTATTCACAAGGCCAGAGGCTTCATAACCTAACCACTTCCCAAAGCCCCCACCCACCCTTAATATCATCACCTTGGAGGTTAGGTTTCAACATATGAATTTGGGAGCAACACATTCAATCTTTAGCAGAGGGGCATGTGGATATTAAGGGAATGGTAAATGTCTCTGACATTTCTAGTCCTTGTTTTTTTGTGACCTTGAAAAGTTACTTAACCATTGTAATTTCAATTGCTTATCTGTAATAGAAGATTAATTAAAGATTGAAATAAGTGAGACTTTTAATGTGCTCTGAGAGACACCTGTACAGGTTTCACTACATACTATTAAATGAGCTTGTACAACTTCCTGAACTTTCCTCAGTTTCAGTTTTTCTCTTTAATGTGATAATAAATACCATTGAGAGGATTAAATAAGTTTTAAATGTTTTAGTACACTGGAGTACAGTAAGTGCTCAAAAACTGTTAGCTGTCACCATGATTATTGTATAATTTAAACATAATTAGTATTATTCACTGATAATTGTAATTGTAATAAGAGAACAAAAGTAATATATAAAACATGTGATCATGAGTGCCAAACTTCATAAAAGCTCTCAGTACTTTTTGTTTTATTTTATTTATTTATTTTTGAGACAGAGTCTCACTCTGTCACGCAGGCTAGAGTGCAGTAGCAGGATCTTGGCTCACTGCAACCTCTCCTTTCCAAGTTGAAGATTCTCCTGCCTCAGCCTCCTGAGTAGCTGGGATTACCAGCACCTGCCACCATGTCCAGCTAATTTTCATATTTTTAGTAGAGACACGGTTTCACCATGTTGGCCAGGCTAGTCTCAAACTCCTGACCTCATGTGATTCACCTACCTCAGCCTCCTAAAGTGCTGAGATTACAGGCATGAGCTACCACACCCAGCCTCAATACTTGTAAAATACTCTGTTTGTTCTTCCATACTCTAAGATTTGTTATTTGAGACATACACTGGATTTCCTGCACTGTCACATGGCGTTTTTAAACAAAGTATTCAGCTCTTAGTAATTGTGCAATAAATGTTGGTTTACTAACAGCCTAGCAACATAATAAGGCTGTTGGATTTGACAGAACTTGCAGAAAATAAGTGCTGATTGTTTCTCAGAGCTCGCCTTTGTATTTCTGCTAAGTATATTTAGTCTGCTGATGAAATGAAAAACTGAACAGTGGAATTTGTACTCAGGAAGTTATGTAACATTTTATAACAAGTCTTAAAACAATGAAAATTCAGCCACTGAATGTTTCAAACATGTACATGCTGTGTTGCAAAAGTAGAAAGAGCAGAAGGGAAACATCATGGGAGGAAAGACTATTTTGCTTCTGATTGCAGGAGTACTTGGGGCATATTATGTTTATACTCCTCTCCCAGATAATATTGAGGAACCCTGGCGACTGGTGTGGATAGGTATACCTGTGAAAATGATAACAAATTTGGTAAGTTCAGAATTTCATAATCTCTATGAATATTTAAGCTTACTTAGGAGAAAATAATAACCAGCTATATTATTTTTAAAACTTTCTGCTGTCTTGGAAATTTTGCTCTTAGTGTTTGCTTGCTGATTTTCGAAACTTAAAAAAAAAAAATCTTCATTCTTTAACACAGACCCCTAGCAGAATAAGCATGAAGGAAAGTATTCAAGTAATTTTAATTTTAAATATTAGAAAATAAAATGTGCTGGCTGAAAAAAACAATCTTACTGTGATTTTCATGGCATGAATACTGATAGAATGAAGCCTTTGTGAAGTATAAACTTCAGAAAAGGTAGAATTGAGTGGCACTGTGATTATATAAAATTCTATGTAACAATCTTGGATTCAGATGTGAAAATACATTCTTACTGAAATGTTCTGTCTAAAGGTCAACTGGTAAAAGAGCAAGGGAAATTGAACACACACAGCATGATTCTCAGTTGAAGGAGAGTGAGCTGCTGAGGCAACAGGGTAGCTGCCTGGCTGGCTGTCCCCAGTGTCCACACGGGCCCTCGGAGACCTGTGGTTCTTTTCTAAGGAGGCTAACTACTTGGATATAAAGCCATTCATTATAATTTTTTGAACCTTCTTAGCAAACTGCCTTCTTGTAGCAAAAGAAAACAATAATCCAAGGACACTTAAACACTTGGCTCACACTCTGCTTCCTTCCATATATTTTTAGATATTTCAACATTCTCTTCTGGCATTTAATGCAGCTTTGAATAAGTGTGATACATGCCTCATTCTCAGGATTTTTGTTTGTTTCTTTGTTTTTTTTTTTGTTTGTTTGTTTTTATACAGACAGGTTCTTGATCTCTCTGTTGCCCAGGATGGAGTGCATTGGTATTCACAGTTTACTACAGCCTGGAAATCCTGGGCTCAAGTGATCCTCCCACTACTTGGCCTTCCAAGTAATTAGGGCTACAGGCACATGCCACCATGCCTAGCTATTAATTTTTTTCTTTTTAGAGATGGGGTCTTGTTATGTTGCCCAGGCTGGTTTTAAACTCCTGGATTTGAGCAATCCCCCAACCTCCCAATCTTTGCCTTCAATGCACTGGGACTACAGGCATCAGCCCCTACATTCAGTGCTGCATTTTCATTTTCTATTAGTTACTTCGCTTTCTAGTCATTTTATTAGCATATACAGTTGGTCTTCTGTATACACGGGTTTTGCACATATATTTTTCATCCTCAAGTTTGCTTTTTAAAAATCTGTGTATAAGTAGACTCACTCAATTCAAACTCATTAAATGGTCTAGTATATGTTGTTACTGGATTTGGGTCAGTTTCACTGCAATATGGCTTCAAACCATATATATGTATATGGTTTCAGTTGCTTTGGTCCAACACTACACATAATTTATAGTTCATGGGTTTTTTGTGATTCTTTGTTTTTTTGAAGAAATAGAGTTTATCACCATGATTATTGATTACTTGTTTACTTTCATGTTCTGTATAATTTCCTGCAGAAGAAAAGCATAGATTTGAAGGAACTTAAAGCCCTGACTCCTTTAAAAAAAGAAAGAAAAAGATAAGAAAAACATTTATTTGCCAAAGTACGTCAGATTACCATAGAATCTGTCATCTTTTCAAAACCTCTATAAAATCATCAACCTTTCATGAAGTCCCTCAGTTTTTTCCCATCTTTTCTCCAAACCCTTTGAAAAAGAAAAAAAACCAACAATAACTTGCTTGAATTTTTGCCATCTGGTCCTTCCTTGTGGTTAGCAATCAATTTGAGCATAAGATATTAAAATGGTAATTCAAGTTTCTAATAATTCAGTGATGAAGATAAATGGAAGTCACTGAGTGGAATCAAGTCTCAACTAGTCTGTATCATGTCATTATCTTCTATAGTAGCAATATCAATTATGTTTAGCTACAATGCCAATTCTGATAGATTGCTCAGCATGACCCTGAAAGGACTCTGAGGTTGCTTTTTAGGCTTAGCAGGAAATAATACTGCAATCAAGTATTATTTGACCTATCCCAGACTATCTTCTAATGAGCCAACCAGACCTATCCCAGACTAGCGATTATTAGCATTTGTAAAAATAGTTTTCTATTGTTATACCTGATTCTAAAGGTTTGAAGTTTTTAGGTTTGAGGACATTTTCAAAAAGATTAGTTTTATCTTCTGTTTTCTTTCTGTTTGCCATTGATTCTCCCAGCCCTGCTTACTTCTTTCTCCTGTTATGGTCTTCTCAAAGATACACTGGTTGGCCTCCAAAGCATGAACTTTAAAGTCCAATGATAATTTGAGTTTCCAAATTGTTGAATAACCACACTGGGTAAACAAAGCTCTTATGCGGGTGTAGCCAGGGGCCTAGACACTGTTTATTAACTATGAATCATCAGAAATTCAATTTTATTATTTTTTCTTGGGGTAATGGACCCTTCTATGATAGATTAAGATTCAGCAAGAAACAATTTTATATATAAACTGAGAGATACAAATTTCAGAGTTAGTCAGAATTTTATTCTATATCATTTAATGTTTCAAATTTATATCAAACATTGCTTTTAGGTTATAGTGTCAGGATAAAGAGGGTAAGATGATCTGAGAAGATATGTCCACTAAGCCACTGCTCCAATTAATCATATTCCACTAAAGAGAAGGCAGCTGAGTAAAGTGCAACACTCTTGTCCTTCAATTCAGATTTCAGGCACTGGGTGATATGTTTTGAATGCTAATGACTTCTTAGCATTTTGTTATACATTTACCTCATTTACTAGTAGAATCTAAAAACTCGTAAAATTATAGAATCCCCTTACAAAATACATGCTTAGCACTTTCTCCCATATGTTACAATTAGTAGTTTCATAACTAAATTTCTATTTTTAATTTGTGTTACATATAGCATTCTGTACTATTTTAATAAAATATTTAGTTGAAATATAGGTGTATAATGTATATATGTACATATATATAATGTATATATGTACACATATATTACATACATACATATACATGTATATGTGTATATATAATTTATATATATAATGCAATGTAAATATGTATATTTACATTGAGTTATATATCTTATTTAAATCTGTACCTAATTCATATATCCATATACCCATTATACATTATATAGTATACATCATATAGGTGAATGAATATATTATGAAGTCATTGTTGCCTATATATACCTATAATAGCTGTTAGTTGGTTAGTTGCTGCCTTTTCTTTTGACTATGACTAACTTCTTAACTTCAGGACAAATCTAGTAACAACTGAATATATGATTTTGGATAAAATTCATCTGAGACAATCTTAAATAACAGAATAATATTTATAAAAGACCTTTCAGTAAATGAATTAGAAAATTAAATAGTTGTATAGTTTAACTCAAAGATTGTTGCAAAATCACTACTTTTAAAAATAGTGGTTTACATGACTTAATATTTATATTCAATCATACATGTTAACATTACATATAGATAATTTATTTTGTTGTTGGCTCATTAGAACATATTAAGCTGCTAATTAAAACTCCTGTAAAGAGGCCTGGCGCGGTGGCTCAAGCCTGTAATCCCAGCACTTTGGGTGGAGGCAGGTGGATCACGAGATCAAGAGATCGAGACCATCCTGGTCAACATGGTGAAACCCCGTCTCTACTAAAAATACAAAAAAATTAGCTGGGCATGGTGGCGCGTGCCTGTAATCCCAGCTACTCAGGAGGCTGAGGCAGGAGAACTGCCTGAACCCAGGAGGTGGAGGTTGCTGTGAGCCGAGATCGCGCCATTGCACTCCAGCCTGGGTAACAAGAGCGAAACTCCATCTCAAAAAAAAAAAAAAACTCCTGTAAAGAAAGAAAGGACATTTGTGAAAACGGCTCCCCACAATGTCACCATCATAGAACTTCCCAGGATAATTTTGATCACATAGCCCAAGAAAGTTAAACCAAAATCCTGTCTTTTACTCAGGATTTTGATCAAGTTGCTCTGGTCTTTCTGAATGAATCTAAAAATTTTTAAACACATTTTTCAGAGTCAACAGATTAAGATCAAATAGAGCATTCATGAGAAACTTTCTCCATGATGGTGAGTTAAAATCGATCCCACCCCTCTTGCTACCTGAGCCCCCTATTCAAGGTTTTTCCTCAATTCTGCCTTGTATTAAATCTTATCTATAAGTACAGTTGAACTTATTCACAGTCAATGAAGACTGGACTCTGGAAAACAGGCATCTTTAATCAATCATACTTTTTAGCACTGTGTTTAGCACACAGTGGACATTCAGTACATCTTCTTGTCATCACATATTCACTTGCATTGAAGACCCACTATCTGCCGGAAGAAACTTATACTTTAGGGACTCCTCTGAGGTTGACCAAAAGGGATCTTTGCAGAGACATCATTGCTACCAATTCCTCTGAGTTCTCATAGGGAACTCAGGGGTATTATGGCTCCCAGTGCTCTTGAGAGTTCCCAGGGACTCTCATCAGTGAACAAGCCAATAAACACTCAGGAAAAAGTAACTTCAATGTATCTGGTCCTTTAAAGCCACCAAGAGAAATTCTGGCACCTAATCTTCCTTAAATGAGACTGTTAAAAACCTGCTGTTTCTGCTAGGGAAGATTTAGTGGGACTTGGGAATTCAGTGTTTAGGTTTGTCAGAATCCATAATCCATACAAATGTTTCTAATCTAGTACTCAGAATATTATTTAGATATGAATGTTAGACCAAGTTTCATCTTTCGACCAAGACATCCAGGAGGACTGTGAATTCAGTTGTTATTGCAGTTCCACAAACTGTAAACTTCGTTTCTATTTTCAGACAGAGATGTAAGTGTAAGTGGTTTCTTTTAGGGAAGTTATAGCAGTATTTGCTTTCCAGACTGTAATTTTAGATGAAAACTAAAACCCTGAGAATGTTATTATTCTTTCGGTTACCTTTTGCATGCAGTCACTATTTGAACTCATCGTTCTCTCCGTAATATTCTTTTTTTTTTTTTGCAACAGCGACTTGATCTCCGAAAACCCTCCCTTAACAGAAACTACAACAGTTGTTAAACTAAGTAACTGGTTTGCTACTGCATTTCTTTTTTTTTTTTTGAGACGGAGTTTTGCTCTTGTTACCCAGGCTGGAGTGCAATGGCGTGATCTCGGCTCACCGCAACCTCCGCCTCCTGGGTTCAGGCAATTCTCCTGCCTCAGCCTCCCAAGTAGCTGGGATTACAGGCATGCGCCACCATGCCCAGCTAATTTTTTGTATCTTTAGTAGAGACGGGGTTTCACCATGTTGACCAGGATGGTCTCCATATCTTGACCTCGTGATCCACCCGCCTAGGCCTCCCAAAGTGCTGGGATTACAGGCTTGAGCCACCGCGCCCGGCCTGCTACTGCATTTCATGCATTAGCAGTTACATTTTTACATTGGCAGTGAGGCTATTCCTGTCTTTAAATCTAACCAGATCAGATATCTAATTCTAACATGTCTTAAATGTTCTCTTTTTTGATACCATCTTTTAGACTATATACTTTTATCAATCATGTTTTTTTTCAGAACACAGACGCCACTACAAGGAGGTCAATAGGAATCAATTCAGTCTTTAAAATCGAGGAGTGAAGAGTAGTCATCAATAATTCCAGCTGCCTGCATTACTGAAGTGGCAGTTCTTAGGAGGACAATCAGAAGTATTAAGAGCCACATATTTGCCAGTGTCTATATGAATGCCCACAGTACTGCAAAACGAAAAAATAATGACTTTTCCTTCTTTTCTACCCAGTAAGTCTTATAAGAATGCCTCTCTGTTGCATAATCTATAATTGCACTGGCAAGGAGTTCTGGGAACTGTATTTCCTGACTTCCTCTTCAAGAATAGGGTGGGGACAATTTATTATTGAAAATAGACAATTTTGTTATTTCTTTTGTACTTACTTAATTTTCATTGTTGGGAAAGAGGTTCAGCTAGCTCTTCGATCACACAGCCCTTTAGTCCAAATGTTTCCAATTTAGGAGAGGAAAGCAAGTCTTTCTGATCCTTGGAATCCCAACATTCTAGGTCCATCAGGATTTGGCTCATAGTCACCTTTAGAGGCCCCTTTTCTTTCATACATCCCTGTACAGACATCTTTATTGCTTTACCAAACTACATGCATTTCTGATTACAATAGAAGTGTCCTTGTGGCGATTGCTTTGGCCTAGAGTGAGATTTTCCCCTTTGGCCAAACTCTACTTTCCTCTCAGTACTCATATCAGAGCTCACGTGCTATTTGAAAACTCCTCTTCAATTCTCATCCAGGTAGCTAGTGAACCGGCCGACCACCGTCAAAGTTCTTTGTACATATCTATGAGATATGCAGTGATGTTGTTTGGTAATTGCTAACACAACTATTTTCCTTCTTGACTCTGAGCTTCTTTAGAAAAGAGCACTTGTTTTAATTATCTTTGTAACTCGAACCGTCCAGCATGGAATCTATCAAGTTGTAATTCCTCAATAATTCTTTTTTTTTTTTTAGCCTAAGGAAACTATGTGGCAACACCACTAAACCTTCAGTATTTCCAACTGTGCCATTCAGATTCACCTGTGAGGGTATGAGACAGGACTGCCGGGTGTACCTCTGCATAGTTCTGTGTTCATAAGCAACACTGGCATTTGATATTTGTAATTTAGTATTTATTTTTCCTGTCTCTCCTTTTAGGCTTTGTTAGTTGAATTCTTGGGAATCGATCATTTTGTAAACACTGCAATGTTCTTCATGAGCTTTCAAGAAGTCCCACCTACATCTGATGAAAATGTTACTGTGATGGAGACGACTTTTAATGATGTTCCTGTCCGTGTGTACGTGCCAACACGAAAGTCGGAGATACTAAGAAGAGGCTTATTTTATGTTCATGGTGGTGGTTGGTGCATGGGGGATGCTGGTATGTGCCCCATGTTAAAAGTTTTAGTTTATTATATACATATATTTTAGTGAAATATTGACTTCATCATATCAAGACATACATGTCAGATAACAAAACACTTCAGCTGTCTGAAATTTATTTCTTTGGAGCTATGCAGGTTTAAAAGAACTATTTTAAAACTCATTCTGAAAGAGAGCATAATAAATACCAAAACTGTAGCAAATCTAAGGTAAGAAGAGAATGTATTTCACTAACTTAGACATTTATTATTAATTGCAGATTTGATAGAAAGTTGCACAATGAAGTGAGTTGAACAATGGATTCAATATGAGGAAATAGAAACAAAGACTTTAGTCTTAAGCATAAACATTAAGGAAACGGGAAAAAGGTGTTAGATTAAAAAAAACAGAGTTGAATAAGGGTATTTTATTTTGATTTTATATTGTATCATATGTATTTTGTTTAATGCACTTATGAATTTATACAAACACAATATATTTTAATATAAACTTTTAATTACTATCAAATCTAAAATTATTTTATTTGCAAATATATTTTGCATGTTTTTTATTATATATATTTCATATTTATGTACAGGAGGTATATGAACATGATTGTAAGTTGAAGTTAAGGTGGTGGTAATTTGAGGTATATTGGAGAAACGTGGGGAGTGGCAGCTAGAGGAAGGGATGGGGGTTTATCTGATCTAGAGGATATGGAAGCAAATTGGATTTGATACAGATGGGAAAAATTAGCAACACAGGAAGAGGAGCATATTTTCATTTGTGACAGAAGGAAAATACGTGTTGATGGTATTGATGTAGATCGGGAATTTAAATTGGAGCAGTTAATGGTGATTCTATCATTTTCTCTAAATTTAGATAGTAAAGTCACCACTTAACAATGCAGCGATGTGTCTAACACAAAATCTGAATATGACATACCCGTTTCCACAAGTCTCTTCTGTCCAAAGTACTTTTTTGAAAACTTTTACCTCAAAGTATCTCTGAAGAATGAAAATATGTTTACTAAGGTGAAGGAACTAAATAAGAATAAGCTCAGAAACAAAATAACATTTGCCTGATACTTTCTATTTCAATATTAAAGAAAAACATAAAAATATGTATTCCAATCAAAAAGATGAGCATGGCTTTGTATAGTAAAGGTTAAATAAAAGTTAAGGACTTAGTGTGCATTTGACGTTAAGAGTACTCAGCACCTGATTTTGGAAACATCACAAGATGATATCTATTCCTCTTTCCATGGCCCACAAGAGATGGGCTTTGTAAGAACCTCGTATCCTGTTACTTCTCCTTCACAGCTGTGTGATTTTTCCTGACACTTGTTACTACTGAATTCTATTTCTCTTTTAACTTTCTTATCTGCAAAAGGAAGCATTTGCCCAAGCCCCATGGTAAACAGGTCTGACCCATCCCCAATCTATAAACACACCAAAACGAAGCAAAACCAAACCATGGAACAGAACAAAACACATTCTTTCTTGTCTGCCAAGAAAATATGAATACTTAATTCAAGTCTCTGCTCTCTCTACTTGCTATTTACTCTTCTCTCTCTCTCTCTCTCTCTGGCAGTTTCTGTGAAGTCTAATTTAATTTCCAAAGAGCATTTTCTGTACCCCTCCATTCCTCCATTAAAACAACTATTATTTTGCATTATTGCTTTTGGTTTATATGCCTGCCCTCCCCACCCCTGTTTCCAGTAGGCTATGACTTCCCTAAAGCTGGAGCTAATATTTATTTATACTTTCAACACCTAATGCCTGCTAAATGAAGGAAGAAGAAATTAATCTTGAGGAGAAAAAACTGGTTTAAATTATCCAGTGTAAAAATGTAGGAATGGATGAGAAAATGACAAGTCACATGTAAAAGAAACACTGGGAAGAATTTATGTTCTAAAATTAAGATAAAATATTAGAAATATTTTTTTCTAGAGTGTATCAATGAGGAACAAGGTGTACCAGTAGGCTTTCTGTTGAAAGAAACACTCTTTTTTTTTTTTTTTTTTTTTAATTTCAGCTTTGTTTAACTATGACTTTCTGTCAAGGCGAACAGCTGATAGACTTGATGCTGTTGTTGTATCAACCAAGTAAGAGCATTCTCCGTTTGTTTGGGCTTTGGCTGAATGCTTTATATAGGAAAATGCTGTCAGCTTTTGTGGTCTTTCTTTGTTGTGCCAAGAGAGTTTATGTGAAATTGAGAGAGTGACCATAGAGAAAGTGAGCTTGAGCATTACAGGAACAGACATGGGAAATAAGAAATCAGATCAAACAGGAAGTTTAGAAATAGAATACAATTAAACTATTGGATCTTATGGACAAATTACCTCTGCTAGATTTCCAGCCTAGTTTTCACGAGCAGAGTGAATAAAAGTGAGGGCTTTAAAATCAGAAAATCAGAATCAAATCTGGGTACTCAAATTAATTCTGTGACTTTGTACTAGATAAATACAATTTCTTTAGCTTAGTTTCCTCATCTTTAAATTGGGATGCATATAATATTTTCTACAAAATAGGGTTTTTTGAGGATTATATGATAAAGCAAACTTAAAGCATTACAAGGTATGTCATAGTAAAATCCTTCACTAAAAGCAATTGCACATGGGAACACAGGCAAAATCTATTCTTGAGAAGTGTTCTAGATCAATAATTCCTGGAAAATTGATCAGAAAAGAATGAGTAGAAAAATGAAGAAGCCATGTGAAAAAACATTGTAATGAACTAAACATTAGATTAACTAAACATTGGATTAAGGTAGAATCTCACAATTCTGAAGATTTGCTTACCATTTATTGGTTACCACCAAAATATAATGATCACAGAAAAAAAAAATCATTCTGGAAGAAATTTATTCCCAAGCAGGGAAACGTAACACCTGCTTGTGTGTGTGTGTTTGTTTTCACCGTAAGCCTAATCCAAGTTTTGTATTAAAGAATTTACTTGTGTAAATGTCATTTGTAAAAGTTTTCATATAGAGCATCATCATAAGGATGAAATCTGTTTTCGGATCATGATCCAAAATATCAGGCTTGCTACAGAAAAAAATTTACTTTTGATTTTAGGGTTAGAGTAAGCAGAATATCATACACTTTTAAATTAAAAACAGTTGACTTAAAAATTGTTCTTCTGCCCACAGCTACAGACTAGCACCTAAATATCACTTTCCAAATCAATTTGAAGATGTATATAATGCACTAAGATGGTTGTTACGCCAAGAGATTCTTGAAAAATACGGTATAGATCCTAAAAGAATTGGCATTTCTGGAGACAGTGCTGGTGGAAATTTAGCTGCAGCGGTGACTCAACAGGTATGATGCTTAGATTTGTTTTATTACTTAAATATCCTATGCTTAAATATATTTATTTCAAATAAAATTTTTAGAAAAAAATGTTAACAGGTCTATAGATACCATACACTTGCAGAAGGAATTATACTTTTCATTTGTTATTTGTATGACGCTACTTATATGACATTTAGCCAAAACTGTATACCTATGAGCTATCAACATAAATTATTATGTAATTGTAAGTAGCCTACTATATTATGGATAAAATTGTTTTTGGTATTGGTTTTTTGACCTAATAAACCAGGGAGTGATGTCTTAGAAGCAATGTTTCTATAAGGAAAAATAATTACATAAACTTTCCAAATTAATATCTACAGTTTAATAATTGATTCTGTAATTGAATAACTGACTCATAATAAATATTGCATCTAAATTTACCGTGCAATAAAACTATTGCTATCAGTTTTGCTGATTTTATTATTTATTTTTATATACTTTGTAAATGTATAAATTTTAGCTATTGGCAAATTCAAGATAACCTTATTCTGATTTCTAGCCAAAGGAAAAATACAAATTTTGTGATTCATTCTAATATACTATAGAACAGATATGTGAAACTTTTCCAAAATTGAATTCTATGTACATTGTTGCTCTGAGAGGCATCCTAGTGAAGTACAATGAACCCATCAGGAGACACAGATTATTGGAGTTGAAGCAATGTCCATCTACGACCTTAGATAAGCCATCTAATCTCTTCAAACATCAATTTCTCTTTATTGTGTTGCATAATAAGCCTTTCCTCATATGGAGTTTAGACTTCTAAAATGATGAACCAGTTAATTCTGACCCATAATTATTAAAAATCTAGCTAACTGTAATCCCAGCACTTCGGTAGGCCAAGGTGGGTGGATCATGAGGTCAGGAGTTTGAGACCAGCCTAACTAACATGGTGAAACACCGTCTTTACCAAAAATACAAAAATTAGCCAGGCCTGGTGGCACACACCTGTAATCCCAGCTACTCAGGAGGCTGAGGAAGAAGAATCGCTTGAGCCCAGGAGGCAGAGGTTGCAGTGAACCAAGATCACGTCACTGCACTCCAGCCTGGGCAACAGAGTGAGACTCCATCTCAAAAAAAAAAAAAATCTAGCTAAAATATCTTATAAAGGCTAATAAGATATAGAAACTTTTATACCAAAAATTTTAAAAGACAAACAAGAGAAAACTTCTCAAAAAATAATTCTAGCACTCAACATCCTCTCTGCCCTAATGGCATGTGGTAATCAAAAGGAAGCAAACCAAGATGAGCTTTGGAAGCTTCTCAGGGTTATACACGCAAATTTAAGAGCCTTGCAGATATGAGTACACTCACAAATCACTCCTCACTTTAAGTGAGGCCCTGAAGAAATAAACTCTCAGAGTCAAAGTGAACCTGCCGTAAAATAAAACTCACTTCTGTTTATAGCCTAGCTGCACGTCATCCAGATGGCTGGAGGAACCTCAAGCTTTGAATTTAAATTAAAGTAGTGTGAGAGGCAATTACTACTATGTGTTTGACTGAAATACATAAAAGACATTGCTGGAGAAATACAGTACCATCATAGTCTTTAAACTTTTTTTGTGTGAATACCTCATGAAATTGAATGCCCAAAACACTATCAAATGTACTTGGGCAAACAAGTAAGCAAGAAACCATGAAGGAAAGCAAGCTGAATCAGCAGACAATAGAAATACTACAAAACTGAGATAATAGAGCTAATATATAAGAATGTGATATTCACAGAATATGAAACAACTGTCCTAATTTCTTCAATAAATCCAGAATGAGGGTTACAAATTTCATTAGAAAATTAGAACTTTAAAAAAAATTCTAAAACTAAAAAATAAACTTATGAAAATTAAAACCTTAAAAATGGCATAAGTAATTTTACACAGCTGAAGAGATCATTTGTAAATTGATAGATGGGAAAGATGCGTCATATCAACTCATGTAACTAGGCAAAATGAAGCTTGAAGAGACAAAAAGATAAACAATACAGAAAAGAAGATGAAGATATAGTAGCTACAGTCTGAAAATCCGATAGTGTTTTAAATATTATACCAAAAAGAGAGGCAAGAGAATGGGAGAAAGGGATATTTAAAAATACAACAGTAGGCCAGGCATGGTGGCTCATGCCTGTAATCCCAGCACTTTGGGAAGCTGAGGTGGATGGATCACCTGAGGTCAGGAGTTTGAGACTAGCCTGGCCAACGTGGTGAAACCCGGTGTCTACCAAAAATACAGAAAAAAAAAAAATAGCTGGGCATGGTGGTGGGAGTCTGTAATCCCAGCTACTTGGGAGGCTGAGGCAGGAGAATTGCTTGAACCTGGGAGGTGGAGGTTGCAGTGAACCGAGATCACGCCATTGCACTCCAGCCTGGGTAACAAGAGTGAAACTCCGTCTCAAAAAAAAAAAAAAATATATATATATATATATATACACACACATATATATCATATTATATGATATATATGTGTGTGTATATACATATATACATACATATGTGTGTATGTGTATATATGCATATGCATGTATATATATGTGCGTGTGTGTGTGTGTGTATATATATATATATATATATATATATATATAATGTAGCTTTAAAGAAGTGCCAGTTATACTGAAAGCTTACTTCTCAACAGCAATAACATAAGCTCTAGGTAGGAGAATGATAATATTAATGTACAGAACAAAAATGACAGACAACCTAATTTTATGCCTCACAAAAATATTATTTAAGAATAAAGTAGAAACAGAGACATATTTAGATAAATGAGAATTAAGCCAGCTTGCTATTAATAGGACAAATTGAAAGATATTTTAAATAAAGCATTTTAGGCAAAATGAAAACACAAATAAAAGATTAAGATGTAGGTAGAAGCAAAAGACAGGAATGTGTTAAGATGTGGATAAACCCTAATCAAGTTGGATAGTTTAAAATAACATATATAAAATTAAAACATTAGAAAAAAAGGACCTATACGTTAAGGGGAATGGGAAGGATAGATTTTAAGTGTTATAAACTCTTTTTATTGTCCAAAAGGAAATAAAAGATTAGAATCGGCATCTGAAAAGTTCATAGCCTTTGCCTTTGAGAAGTTACTAACACATTGTAACACTGAGGACAACCATTTAAAGTATAGATATTGTATAAATTCTAGACTGAGGAAAAATAGAAAATTTGAAAGGTTAATGTGAAAGGCAAAAAATAGAAAAAAAAGGATAATAAAATGAGGTAGCAGATTGAAACCAAACACTATAGTAATTAGGTTAAATATAAGTGATCTAAATAATCTGGTTGTAGGACCAAGATTATCAGAGTGGCTGAAGAACAATTTCTGATCATGTGTAGTTTTTAAATGACACATTAAAGGCATAAGCAGAAAATTTGAAAGTAAATTTGTGGAAAATGCATACCATGAGAACATATTTAAAGATATTGCTAGGTTAAAAAAAAGTTACATCTTACAGAAAAAGTTTAAATTATCAAGAAAATACAACAACCCTAAATCTGTGTGGATTTAATAATACAGCCTTAAAATAGATGAAGAAAATATTAAAAGGTGCAGGGAAAAATACACAAGTTCACAATTACAGCGAGAAATTTAAGGATACCTCTTTCAGTAATTAAAACACTAAACAGACAAGAATAATAATAAGCTGAGATAATTCGGGAATAACAACACATTTCATGTAATGGATGTATGAAGAACAGAGGAACAAGCGAACACAAAAGGTCTTTTTGTTTTGTTTTTAATGGATGAAGTACTGGGCCACGATGCTTTTATATCTTTTAAATATCTTTTTAATGTTCTCCACATTTAGAGCAATATTTAGAGAAACTTGTATATCCTTAAAAGCATATATTAGAAAATAAGAAAGGCTAAAAATATGTATGTCTCAATAATTCTTTTTAAAAAAGAACAGCAGTCACCAAAAATACAAGGGAGATAATAACAATGATAATATCAGAAATTACGATATACCTAACATGCTTAGTAGTATGAATGACAAGCAAAAAGTTAATACTTTAAAAAGATGAATAAAATTGTAAAATATCTAGAAAGATAAATGGAGAAAAATAGAGATTAATGGCAGAATTGAAAAAGGGAGTAAGATTGTATGTTGATCTTTCAGATATAAAAAAGAATTAGCCTTTAATAAGTTAAGAATGCACAGTGTAAGTCTTAAAAGAGATACTTTGAAAAACTTTTTAATTAAAAGAAAATGGAACAATATTGAAATTAAATAATCAAACTCCAAGAAAAATTTAACTTGCCAGATAGATACAAAAAATAAAAATCTCAGCCATGTAGTAATTACTAAAATAATTCAATCAGTACAGATTGAATATCCCTAATTTGAAAATTCAAAATTCAAAATGCTCCAGAATTTAAAACTTTACAAGCACCAACATGACACTCAAAGAAAATGCTAGCTGGAGTATTTTGAATATTAATTTTTTTGGTTTGGGGATGCTGAATTGGTAGGTATGATACAAATATTCCAAAACAAAACAAAATGAAAAACAGAAATCTGAAATGCTTTTCATCCCAGGCATTTTGAATAAGAGATACTCAACCTGTAATAAAATACAGTACCAGTAGAAAACCTCATTGGTAATATACATTAAACATTCAAAGATGAAATAATTCAAATAAACATGAAGTATGCTAGGGGAAAAGAAAACAGTGTATGGTCTCTGATTTATTTTCAGAGAGGCATATGTTTTATAACCAATCCATCAGTCAAGATCAGATGGTTTTCAGGAAACATGAACAAATTTATTTTGGGAATAAAGAAATGAGCCAATAACACTCATAAAACTAAGATATCCAAAATATACCATGATCAAGTTGCTAATAATGGAAGGAAATTATATTTTATAAAAATCAGTTAATTTTCCTCATATTAGTAAATTACAGAAGCAAAATCATATATCATCTTGCTAGAGGTAGAAAAAGCATTTTGAAAAAGTCACAACAATTGTTCTAATTATTGGTTAACTAGGAATAGATAGAATTTTCTTAACCCGATAAGCTATATGAGTTAAAAATGAGCACAGGTGGCATAATTCTGAAGAAACTTGCAATGTTAAATACCATGAAACAAAGAATGGTGATTTCCGGGAGGGAAGAAGGGCCAATGATCAATTCAAGAGATATGGTGAACTCCCTGAACCTTACACATGTAAAATGTTCTATTTTACATTTCTGTTTTATGAAGCCATGTGCTTGATTTTCTGCATATTTTATTTAATAATAAAAGACAACTTTATAAAATATCTGCATGTTCAAAGATTTAGTTACCTGTAAATTTACCTGAGATTTGGTTACCTGAATTTATTGGTAAAATATAAAATATTTTTTGTGTTTTATCTTACTCTGTGTTTTATCAGCCACCTATTAGCTATCTACTTAATTATTTATCACACCTCTGCTAATGTCAACAGCATCTTTCTACTAGATATTGACTTAGATGGACTGTGTGTGGCAATCTTACTTGAACTAATGACACTAATTATTTCAATTCAGAAATTATTTTACATTAAAAAATCTTGTAATGTACTTATATTCTATTGTGCCAAGTGGTTCTTATTAACTTTGTTTTAAATGTAATAAAATAAAATTTGCTGCCTTTGCTTTTGCTGCTGTGTGTGCATATTTTGTTTTATTCTTTTTTTCGGAAAATGTTATATTTTTGTTGAAGAATGTCAGCATGCTGTGCTTTCTTCAACATTATATACAAAATGCTGTTGCAAGTTTTCAGAAATAGACTTCCAATTTACCCATTAAATTTTGATCTGAGAGGCATCAGAATGCAGGTGGCTTCAATAATCACTATTTAGACCTATGCCAGTGGATCCCAAATTTTAGCTTGCATCAGAATCACCTGAAGTAGTTCTTAAAACTCAAATTTCTGGTCTCTGCTTATCTAATTCAGTACCCTATAAACAGGAAACTTTTAGCCCACCCTGTAAGTATGCATGTTGATTTATAGATAATATTTTTCTTTACACCACTATAAATTGAATTTTTTTTTTTTTTTGAGAAGGAGTTTTGCTCTTGTTACCCAGGCTGGAGTGCAAAGGTGCAATCTCGGCTCACTGCATCCTCCGCCTCCTGGGTTCGGGCAATTCTCCCGCCTCAGCCTCCCAAGTAGCTGGGATTACAGGTGCGTGCCACTGTGCCCAGCTAATTTTTTGTATTTTTAGTAGAGCTGGTGTTTCACCATGTTGACCAGGATGGTCTCTATCTCTTGACCTTGTGATCCACCCGCCTCGGCCTCCCAAAGTGCTGGGATTACAGGCTTGAGCCACAGCTCCCGGCCCTATAAATTGAATATTTAAAACATGAAAATTAAAATGAATTAGAGTTTTATAGTGGGAATGAGAATTCTAATATGTTCTTGCTTAACTTTGATAAATATTTTTGTATTTAAGGCTCCCAATCTTTCACATAACACCTGAGAGAATTATTTTCTAATTAGGATACCACTGCCCTGTAGAAATTAAAAAGATAATTATGTAGATGACTGCAGCACAAAGAGAAAGAACACAGTTGAAATACTCTCATTTAAAAAACAAATCAAACGAATCCAACCCTCATTTTTCACAGAGGGACTATAAAACTTACTCAGAACTAATTTGTTCAGTGTTAGAGCCAAATTAGAATTCTTAGTTATTTGATCCTTTTATTTATTTATTTATTTGTTTGTTTATTTATTTATTATTTGAGACAGAGTCTTGCTCTGTTGCCCAGGCTGGAGTGCAGTTGTACAGTGTTGGCTCCCTGCAACCTCCACCTCCTGGGTTCAAGTGATTCTCCTGTCTCAGCCTACTGAGTAGGATTATAGACACACACAACCACATCTGGCTAATTTTTCTATTTTTAGTAGAGAAGGGGTTTCGCCATGTTGGCCAGACTGGTCTCAACTCCTGAACTCAAGTCATCTGCCTGCCTTGGCCTCCCAAAGTGCTGGGATTACAGGTGTTAGCCATGGTTTCTGGCCTGAGATTTTGCTGAGACCACAGATTAGATGGTCTCTTTTTCCAATTACGAAAAAAGCACAAATCATCTTGCATACATAGTATTAAATTATTGATTCCTATAATGTTGAAAATGGAGAAGTTCTTGAGATATATTTTTGTTGTTTCTGATTATCTTGTTGATATTCTGAATTAATCTCATCAATGTATTGTTTTTAAATAAAAATATGCTTTCGAATGAAAATTATTTAAGAAATTTATTTTAATTGTTTTTCAGCTCATAGATGACCCAGATATCAAGATCAAACTCAAGCTTCAGTCTTTAATATATCCTGCCCTTCAGACTCTTGACATGGATTTACCATCGTATCGGGAAAATCGAGACTCTCTAGTCCTGTCCAAACCACTCATGGTCAGGTTGTGGAGTGAATACTTTACCACAGACAGATCACTTGAAAAAACCATGTTCTTTAATCAACATGTACCAATGGAATCAAGCCATCTGTTGAAATTTGTTAATTGGAGTTCCTTGCTCACTGAGAAGTTTAAGAAAGGCCACTCTTATTACAGTCCAAATCATGGTAGTTCTGAGCTGGCTAAAAAATATCCAGGGTTCCTAGATGTGAGGGCAGCCCCTTTGTTGGCTGATGACAACAAGTTGCGTGATTTGCCCTTGACCTACATCATCACCTGTCAATATGACATCTTAAGAGATGATGGACTCATGTATGTCACCCGACTACGGAACGCTGGAGTTCAAGTGACCCATAACCACATTGAGGATGGATTCCATGGAGCTCTTTCCTATAATGGGCTTAAAATTGGGTATAGAATAGAAAATCAGTATATGAATTGGCTAAGTAAAAATCTATAATAAAAATCTAAGCAATGGTTTATTTAAAATGTAGAAGGCTCAGAACAGGAAGCAAATTAGTGAAAATCAAAGGTTGATGTTTGAATTGATCTTTATCATCTGTGACCTTCTAAGGTCCTCATAGCCATAGTGGGTTTTGTTTTTGTTTTTATTTTTTTGACTGCTAGCAAATTCTTCTCCACTTTATTTACTTTTCTAAGTGTTATTCACTCACTTCGCATTTTCTTCGGCTACCATGACTCAATTGTTAAATCCCTATTTACAGTTCTAGTTTTTTGATTGGCTAAAAATATTACTGAAGAGAAGAAAGTTTTAAACAAACACATGTGGTTTGTAAAATGCCAGAGTTTTAGTCAGCATGAATTTAGAGACTTGACGTGCTGCCCTGTGAGAACTAATAGGAAATATGTGCCATCTCTTTTAAAAAGCATTTGCCTCAATATAATACTGTTTGCCTATTATTGTAAAATTCAATTCTTAATACAGACCTCTTCCTGTACTAAGTTAACAACATTAATGCAAATGATCTTTTAGGTACTTTAGGGAAAGCCAGCTCTAATTTTGTGAGAAATTAAGAAGGTTGAAGTAGGTACGAAGCCAGCATAAGGCAGTAGCTCCACATGTGGCAGTGACTTATAGTGGTGAGCAAAGCTTAGGACATAGAAGAAATGATACAACCAAATTAAAAAACTTCTATCGCTAAAAGTTCTTAAGTCCTATAGGCACTGTTTGGGGGGAAAGACCACGAACAACAAGCCGTAGCGATCATATGGTAATAAGGTTTGATCGCTTTGGAAGTGCATTGGGGAAGACAGCCGAGGGCCAGCATGGAGTTTCCTCACAGACACTGGACACCAAAGTTTCTTTTCTTTCTTAAAAATTATTTATTTATTTTATTTTAATTTTTTAAAAGATAAGGTTTCACCATATTGCTCAGGCTGGTCTTGAAGTCCTGACCTCAGGTGATCTGCCCGCCTCAGTCTCCCAAAGTGCTGGGATTCCCAGCACTTTTTTATTTTACTTATTTTATTTTTTAAATTTTTATTGGAAGCCAAAGTTTCTTTATTTTACTGCTCAGCTGTTGACAGCCAGAAATCGCTGGTGGGGACAATGGGGAAAATCATACACTTTCGTTTTTGTTTGTTTTATCAGGAAAAACAATAGCATTCCTGGAAGCCCCACTCATAAATATACGTATACATATGTATATACATTCCTATATGTCATTTTACAGAATTATATTTCATGTCATGAGCCTTAGCTGTTAAAGCTGCCTGAGAAGTCATATTTTTTAATCTGAGCACATCATTCTGAATAAAGCTTATATTCAGTAAAATCATGTCAGTGGTAGATAGGCAATAAGAAGTAGGCCACAAATTCTTTAGGGTAAGTGATTAAAATTACGTGTGAATAACACATAGAAATATTTGGAGTCATATAATGCATGGAATGGATGTATAGATGAGTTACAGTTCCCAATGGGGCATCATTGTAATATTTGTGTACTCAATTACTCGCAGAAGGCCTTTCTCTAATTTTTTACTTAGATCTCTATGCCCTATTCCTTTACCTCCCTCAAACCAGGTGCCCACAAATCAAAATAATCTGTTTCATGATGTAAGGAGTAGGAGTCTTAATTTGGAGTAGGAGGACACATTTAAATATAGACATAAAGTTTTAATTAAAAACCTTATTAAAGCAACATAAACAATAATAATGAAATGAATTGGTATTAATTATACCACGTTTTTCCAGGACTCCTGCCCAAAGGAAGAGGTAATAGAGTGAGGGAATGATAGCAACAGCAACAAAACATCTTTTATTATTTACTGACAGATTCAATGTCTGGTTCAAATCTCCACCTAGGTCCTTACCTTTGGTTTTCTCAAAGTAAAATGTGATAAATAACTATGGGTGTCCCCTACCTTACCAACTGGCTTCTTTTGTCCTAAGTCACCAGGACTGGTTCTTTCTAATTGTTTTTTATCCTTCTCTACATTAGTCATTAGTCTCAAGTCACTCTCATCTCCCAAATTCTAATCCATACAAGTCATTCCCTGTACCTTTTTCTGTCTTTCTCGTAGTCCCTTCCTGATTCCTACAAATTCCACTGTGCTGGCTGGAGCTCACGATTCATTATGAGTGACATCCTCAAACTTTTGTCAGTGTTCTCTCTCAACTTTCAGCTGAGCTCCAGTACTTAATTTAGGATCAGGCTTCTTCTATTTTTTTTTCTTCCATATTATTCATACTACAGGAGCTTAACATGAAGTAGATGTCTTCCTTCCTCATTGTTGCTCTCAGACTGTTCCATTTCTCTAAAGCCTTCTGAATTATTGTAGCAGGCTAGATCACCAGTCTCCCTTCCATTTTGTAGTCATCTTCTTACCTCTGAGTCACTGGCTCTCATGTCTCAAACATTTTACCTTTAACTTCATTGTCACTCTAATAATCAGATCCATTATTATTGTCACTTCAATATCCAAAATGTAATATCTCCAATATTATAGTTGAGAACCTCAAAATCTATATAGATAATATAGCCAGCAAGGCAGACTCTGATTTTTATGACTTATTCTTCCCCAATGGTCTGTCCTCTATTCTTCTATTCTGCACAAACCATTTGTCCGTATAATCATGCCTTTGACCTTGTTACTAACAAAAACTACACCCTCTCTATAATCTCAGCATTAAATAGACTACTGTCAGATTATAACTGCTGTATTTGTAAGTTGCTCCCACTAATACTTCAATAGCCACAGTACTTAAGAATTTTACCGGGATTTCGTATTTCTTCACTATGCTCATGTATTTTTTTCTTTTTTTCATTACTCAGATTAAGTTGTATAGTCAGTCATTATCACTTCATTACATATATACTCCCAGGTTTTCTCTCTCTCCTTCCTCCATAACCCTTTATCCTTTACAGATGAGCATGATAGAATAAAATAATAATGTGTCAATGTTCTCATTGACACATGCAGGCTTCCAGTGTGCCCTTAATGCTGCCCATCAATTACATTATTTTCCCCAAGTCAATCTCTCCTATTATTATATTTAAATTGTGCTCTCATGTAAGGCCAAATTCTCTTAAGTGTATGCTATATTTCATCCTCTTTTGCTTTCTCAAGAACAATATTCTAGAAATTATCTACTTTTTCTTCTGCTTTATTGCTGTCTGATGGATCATTTCCACCAGAATACAAATATGATAAAATTTCACTTTCTTTAAAAAAACTCTTATGACTCTATTTGCCCTTCCAGTTTCCACCACATTTCTCTATTTTCCTTTATAGCAAAACAAAAAAGAAAAATTGGGTAGAACGGTCTATATTTGCTGCCTCCATATACTTTCTTCCAAATCTTTCTTATTTATCTTCTCCAATCAACCTTTCATCCAAACTTGCTCTAACCACCAAAATCCTTGTCAATGTTAATGATGTAGCAGACTAGATCACCAATCTCCCTTCCGTTTTGCAGTTTTCTGCTTACCTGTGAGTCACTGACTCTCATGTCACTATCGTTTTCTGATCTACTCTGAGTAGAGTGCTTCTGATCTTGGAACTCAGGTCTCTTCTCTATCTGCAGTTTATTCTCTGAGATGCCATTCAGTCTCATGGCTTTAAATGACCTGGAAGGCAACCCTCCCCTCCAGGTCACATCTTCAGTCTGGAACTTCTCAAATCCAGATTAGTTATATATCCAATGTCCTACTTGGCAAGTTCACTTGGATTTAAATAAAAATCCCAAACAAATTTTTGATCTCCCTCAAATAACCTCTGATCTTTGTCTTTCTCATTTCAATAAATAGCTATTGCATATTTCAGTTGTTCTAAACAAAAGAAAAAGGAGCAAAAAATTAGCTATTTTTAATTTTATTTTTATTCTTTCTGTCACGTGTATCATTATAAAATCCTCTTAGCCAAAATATGTTCTATATTCAACCTCTTTTTTCTTCTAAACTCGATTGCAAATAACCTCTAATCTGCTGCCAATTTTTGCTTAGAATATTCCAATAGCATTCTAACTGATATCCCCCCTTCCATCCTGTACCCTTAGAGTCAATTGCAACATGTCAGACAATGATCTTTTTTAAATGGAAGTCAAATGATGTCACACTCCTCTGTTCAGGATCCTCCAGTGGCTTCTCAGTTCGGTCAGACTGAAAGCTCTCTAACTCCTCCTTCTTACCTCCTGTGTGTTATTTGAACATCTCTGGAATGCTCCAACCTTATTGAAACTTTCCAGTTGATATCACTGTGTCTTCCATGTTCCTTCCTGAGATACCCATGTGGCTCACTCCTTTATCTCCTCAAATATGACCTTGTGAATGCCATAGCAGCCAATAAACATCATAAAACAGACATATTGGTAATAAACCTCAGGTGAAGGTAAAAGAGAATTATAAGAAATATTCAATTCAAAATTGGCTTAAAAAGAGGAAAATGATATGGGAGACATAGAAACCAAATAGTAATATTTAAGCCAAACCTTATCAATGATTACAAAAACTGCAAATAGAGCATCAAATGAAAAATCAAAGATGATCAAATTGCATTAAAATGGAAGTTCCGACTGTTTTAGTATAGCAAAAATTCTTGTAAAAATTAAAAATGTAAATATGCAAGCAAAATGATTGAATAAGTCATACTACGCATTTTCTATTCATAAAAAGTCTGGATTAGCTATAGTCATATCAGACAAAGTAACTTTCAGAACAAAACAAAATTATGGAAAAAGCGAGGCATTTCTAAGATACAGTGGTCAATTCATCAGGAAGACAAAATGATCTTAAATGCGTGTACACCCAGTAGCAGGGATTCAAAGTGAAGGAAGCAAAAAATTACTAAACCAAAGAAAGAATTGACAAACCCATAGTTATGGCTGAAGATTTCAAAACTCTTCTCTTAGCAATTTACAGAAAAAATAGAGAATAAATTTACAGGAACATAAAAGTCCTGAATAATATAATCATATAACTTAACCTAAATATAGAATGCATATTGCCTATCTCTTAATAAGTTGCTCTAGGTATTATTATTTTTAATAGATTTGTCTTCTGGGCCTCATACTAGAGTTGTGAGTGGACTGCCCACCACAACTACAGTATTAGAGTGTTCTGGGTTTGTTCATGTACTTAATTTTACCAGTGGGTTTTATACCTTTAAATATTTTCTTTGTTCATGTTAGTGTTTATATTTCATATAAAAACAGAAGAAAAACTAGGAAATACTTACCAAAGTTCTCTTCTTCCTTTTCCAATTTCCCACCTTGTCTCAAAAGGTTTCCACTTCCTCCCCTTTGCCATCTCCTTCCCTGGTTTCCATCTCCTCCCCTAGTTACCACCCACAATGAGCTAGCTGTGAGCACCTTTTATTAATTATCTTCACTAAGTTTTACAATTTAGCACTCAGACTCTTGTACAAGATTTTCATGCTTTGGGTTCACTTTCTCTTTCTGGGAGCATGATTTTAGCTCAGTCTTAGATCCTTCATTTCTCTTTCTTTTCTGTGTAATTTTCCCAGACAATTCTCCCCCAAATCTTATTCTCTATACAGTTTCAAGGCAAGAACTTGAGAAATAACTCTGTTGAACGTTGCTGTTTACATTTCTACTTAGAGGTTATTTGAAATTTATGGCTTTGTAGCTTTATTTGTTCTTGTTGAACAGTTTTGTTGGAGGATGTCTCTTGAGAATTTAATTTATGTGGTCATCATTATGCTTGAGCACTTGGAAGATAAACAATTGAAAATTAAAACAAAAAAGATGGGTTTAAAAACATATCAAACTTAGCTGAAGTGAATATTAGTGAACTAGAAGATAGCTATCAAGAAGTAGATTACCTCAGAAAGAGAGAGAGATAAAGATATAAAAGATTTTGAAGAATAAATATATGGAGAATAAAGGTAATGAGTACTAGGTAATTATTTGTAGCCTTGACATACTAGGTGGCATATCATTAGGATATATTTAAATTTATTTTTCCATAGCTGTTAGTACATAAGTCCTCAATTTTTCTGTTAAGCCATTGCTGTTTTGTTGTTAACAGGTAGAAATGTTGTGTATAGTAAAGAAACCAATCCCTTGTTGCTGAGTTGTCATTTTCTTTTGAGATAGCCATTTATCTTTTGAAAAAATTTCTTTCTGCATTTGTATGAGACTGAGAATTTATAAAGAAAAGAGGTTTAATTGACTCACAGTTCTGCATGACTAGGAAGGCCTCAGGAAACTTACAGTCATGGCAGAAGGCAAAGGGGAAGCAAGGCACATCTTACATGGCAGCAGGCAAGAGAGAAAGACAGACACAGAGAGGAGAGAGAGAAGAGTCAGACACTTATCAAACAACTAGATCTCATAAGAACTCACACACTATCATGAGAACAACATGGGAGAAACTGCCCCAAAGATCCAATTACCTCCCACCAGGTCCCTACCTCAACATGTGGGGAGTACAATTTGGATTCCAATTCAAGATAAGATTTGGGTGGGGATACAGCCAAATCATATCAGCATTCTGCAAAATATGTTGTGCTACTATCTTAGAATTGATTTGTAATTTTATTGCACTGTGCTAATATATGATTTGACATATTATGTCAAAGTGCCTTAAATAGTAAAATCTGGGTAAGTCAATTATCTTTTAATAAAGCTGCTTTTTAATGGCATAAAACATGATATATTCAGAGATAAAATTAACAAAATACATAAAAGACAGTTTCACAGACAAATGAAAGCTATTCTGAGGAAAATTAAAGATGTCCTAAATAAATGGAAAGAAGTAAGATGTTCATTGCCCAAAAGGCTCAAGATTACTTAGGTGTCAGTTCTCCTATTTATTTACTATGATCCCAGTCTAGATCCCAGAAGGCTTTAGTTCAATTTTTAAAGAAAATATCGTATTTATCCTAAAGCACATATGAAAATAAAAATGAGTGTAGAATATTAGAAAAAAACTATTTTGGAGAACAAATTTATAGCATTTACAGTAAATAATTTTAAAATTGTATACAAAGCTATGTAGTCAAGATATTTTAATAGAATAATATTCAAAAAGGATTTATTTCAATGAGGTATTTCAATAAGGGTAGACAGATAATAAAAAGAGAATCTAGAAATAAATCCATAACTTTGGGGTAAATTTTTAAAGAAGTTGCCAAAGTAGTTCAATTACAAAAGTGTAGTATATTTTTAAATGGTACCTGAACATTTGCATATCCATATTAAAAAAATCCTTAACCCTGACCTTTACTTCATTCCATATACAAAAATTATTAATATCTCAAAATGAATCATGGATCTATATTTTAAAAACCCACAAAACTTTAAAACTTCTGGAGGAAAACATAAGAGAAAAAAATCTTTGTAATCTCTTTTTAGGCCAAAATTTCTTAGATAAGACATGGGACAGAAAAAAGCACTAGGTATAAAAGAAAAATAGATAAATTGGACTTTATCAAAATTCAGACTTAGTTTCTATTACAAGAAAAGATACAAAAAAGGAAATAACATTTAAAGAGGGGGTTTAATTCTTTATTAGAGAGGTATCATAATACCCTCACAGTTAAAGAAAATTCATTTATTCAAGAAATATTTATTTAAATGCTCTGGATTTGGGACTAGGGCATATAGCCATGAAGCAAGTTCTTGATGTTGTCTCTGGCAAGAGAGAGAAAGAAAGAGAGTTACTAAAAGATGACAAGATCTTTGGTAGAAATATGTGTGTGAGTGTATGAGTGCATGGATTAGAATTCAGTCTGTTTTAATGCTCTCTTGAGTAGTATATATTTTCTAGTTCACATCCTAAACCCTATGGCATTTGTGTTTTCTAAGCCACAAAGATTGACATATCGAGAGAATTATAAAGAAAGGTGAAGACATCTGCTGTTTCCTTATCCTTGTCCAAACATTCAAAGTCTTGGCAATCAGCGGTAGCAGCATGACATAGGCAATTTTTTTTTGTGCTCCCTACTTAGAGCTTTGGAGGCCAATCCATTATGAAAGCAACCAATTTGAACACTTCTTAGTTCACAATTTTCTCCTTCTTCCCATAGCGCAGCTGGTGGCCCCAGTGCTATGTTGCAATATAAAGAGTTGTCTTATTTTGCCTTATTTGGAATGGCTGTATGTGCACATAACATGATTTATGTCAGTGTTAGCCTTGTGTCTTTCTATAGCAATAAAGATTGCTTTAGCTAAATTCCTTTGGTCCATCAACAACTAATGAGAATTCTTTTGATAAACAGATTGCTTGAAGTCCCGCTATTTTTTCTAGGCAAGGTGAGAAGATTATGGGGAGTAAATGAAACCACTTTAATAATCGTTTTCTCTCTCTTATGAGATCTTTCACAACATCCAGTTCATAAATTTCTGAGTTATTTGGAGAGATAGGTATTAACTAAAAAGCTTAGAGGAATTTGGTAAAAATGATAGACTCTCAAATTACAACCACTTTCTAAGAACCTGAGAAAAGCCTTAATTTGCTATTGGAAACATATTTAAATTTTAAAATTTAGTCGGGTCAAAAAATAAGATCTTAGGGTTTACTTATTATTTAAATTTTGAAAGTATTTCTACAAACACTTTGAAAACCTATTCACAAATATAAAATTGAAAGCTATAAATTTTTCTGCCTTAGTAAAGTTTGTTATAATATGAGTGAAACCAAATGTCTGAAAAAAGTCAAGCATGTGGTACAGCAAGAAGCTCTGATGTCAGTATTTTTACACTGGTGTTGCATATGTGCTCTGACGACACTGCTATTTTACATAGTACATATTATCCATGAGGAAAAGTGTGACTTATGTGGACAAAGGGGAAATGAAAACCACAGAAAACTTCTATTTGTGTAAAAGTTGCACTCCTTTAATTTGTAAAATTCCACTTAGAATTGATGATTTACATGTTATTTATTTTCTCCATTTTAATAGATTAATAATCTATAAGAAGTCAGTGAAAGGATTTTGACTCATTGGTCATTAGGCTTTAATATACTACACTTTTGCACTGTACAATCTTGGCCTTTTCTATGCTATCAAAAATTGCTACATTTCTACATATTTCAGGTCAGCACTTTCAGCAGCATTTTTTAAAATAGGGGACAGATTAAGTTAGATGTACGTCAGCAAGAATCATGGTTGCGTCCCTTTCTCACCATAATGATAATATTATGCAGTGATAACAATAGTAACCAATTACCATTTCTTGTGGATCTCCTAGATGCCAAGAGCTATGCTAATTCTTTGCATTCATTATGACTGTAACCCAAACAGCAATCCTATTAGGTATGAATTAACATGTTTTTATTATAAATCAGTAAATCAAGAAGAGTCTAACAAATTTCCCTTTGATCACACAGCTAGTAATAATGTAAGTTGAAATCCTCATCTTGAAATGGTAAACACAATATATTCTTATTATGAAGTATTGTTTAAACAATAAATACCTTTATTAAATGAGCTTTCATGGAAAGGGGTTTATTTCGCTTTTTGTACCTTGTTCTTTCTCAAAGGTCCATTTTCTTGATTTCAAGCACAAAGTAAACTTTTGATTACACTGAACTTGGACTGGCCTCAAAATAACGAATGTGAAAGCTTTTCCTGCTAGAACTTCAGCTGAAGTCTGTTGATCGTAGCATTCTTTCTTCATATTGTTTTTTATTTTACTCTTCTTGGGATTCAGTAAATAAATATGAAGAATAGTTAGATAGAATTCAACAGAGCATCCACTCAGACAGTGAAAATTATTAATCAACAACCTGCTCTAAATTGTAATGTTTTGAAGAGAAATCTATCTGTGATATATGTCTGCTATATAAATAGATTACATAGATTGATTACATAATAGGTAGGAAGATAGTAGATAGATGGATAGATAGATAGATAGATAGATAGATAGATAGATAGATAGATAGATATTAAATAGATTTACACACACAAACACAAGATTGGGGGGAATCCTGAGAAAGCTTCCCTTATGATATTAGCCAGGGAGGGAAATGGCAGCTGCTGCAGGTGGTGGCAAAAGTCCATTGGGATCCTTGTCCTCTATTGCTCTTAAGAAATAAAACCCTAATGTTCAAGAGTGGACACCAAAAAAGCTGCCCTAGGACACTGTTGAAAACACATGGCAGTTGGCAGAAGGAATTAGAAAATAGCAACAGCCATGAGAACAACAAAAACTTCTATGCCATGAGGAGGAGCAGCATTTGAAAATGAAAATATTACAGTTAAGAAAATCACCTTAAGCTGGGTACTGTGACTCATGCCTATAATCCCAGCACTTTGGGAGGCCCACGTGGGCAGATCACCTGAGGTAAGGAGTTTGAGACCAGCCTGACCAACATGGGAAACCCCATCTCTACTAAAATTACAAAAATTAGCTGGGTGTGATGGTGCAGGCCTGTAATCCCAGATACTCAGGAGGTTGAGGAGAACTGCTTGAACCCTGGAGGTGGAGGTTGCAATGAGCCAAGATGGTGCCATCGCACTCCAGCCTGTGTGACAAGCGCAAAACTCCATCTCAGAAACAAACAGACAAAAAACCCTTAAAAGTTAAGCTTGATATTCACATATCTGTTTTATGATTGATACTTAGTATTTATGGGGTACATGTGATATACTATGGCATGTGAGAAAGGTTTGCTTTTGGATACAATTAAAATTATAGGTTGCAATGTTATCATTTACTGAAAACTAGATGCCCTTGTAGTACAAGGAGTCTAAATGACTATAAACAATTGGTTTAAACAAGCCCCAGTGATCATTGATTTATCAGGAAAGAATCTTTGGTTGGATTAATGTCAGGATTAGCAGGATTACTTAAACGTCCTGGTTCTTTGAGAGGATAGTGTCAAAAAAATTATAGTGAAACACAGCATTGAATTTTGATTCTGTCCTGGGCAAGTGCTGCTGTAAATTGAAAATTTTCCATTTATATCGTCCACTCTCCATGTAAAAATTTTCTTTGCAACACGGAAAAAGGTTGTTATCCAAATTGCTTTTCTTGCTTTTCTAGAACGCAGAACCATGTTAAAGAGTAAGACTGGGCTGTGCAGTAGCTCATGCAATCCCAGCACTTTGGGAGGCCAAG